CTGTCTTGCCATTGATCGTCATTTGATCTCCATGTAAAAACCCACCTTTCAGGAGTTCCTTTAGGAGTATCTGAAATAAACAGATTTGACTTGAAGACATGATATTAAATCYTATTACATGCCAGATTATCTTTATCAATCCTGATCCAAAGGTTATATGCTCAACTTGTCACTCACCRGAAGTCCCCCAACCTCGTCAATATCTGCCATTTGGTACTAAAATTTAACATAAAACAAATCAACATGGTTTATTAATGATGATAAATGACTTTGCAGCTTTAGTATATCATGCCATAGAATTATATTATACCATGATTTAAATGCCTCATACCTTTCCATGAGGTTTGACATTGGCAAGAATGGGCACTCGACCACCAATTCTATTGAAATCTTCTATTTCAAGTTTGACTTCAGCYCTAATTAAGTGTGATATATTTATCAAAATAATGCTGACTAGATAACATCATACTATCAATCAAACAACCTATCATCAAGCCAATCCATCTATCAATCAACGTACCTACAAATAAATAAATAAACATTAAATAAATAAATTGGTGATAGCTAATCGCCCATCCTTGCAGCCCGAGTGCTGAATTACGAAGGACGCAGCTCACGTGATCGAGTCGGTTATGCGGTATACGAGAGCGCTATCATTACGAGGAAAATCACATAGTTACAACACACACACAAAGCAGCCAACCAACCGACCCATATCTGATCACGGAGCACAGCTAGGATCGAAATGTTCCATTTTTGCTGAGGGAGGAAAAACCGGAGAACTCAGAGAAAAAAACCCTCGAAGCAAGTGAGAGAACGGAAACAAACTCAAGCCACATATGATCCCAAGTCCGAATCGAACCCGGGGCCACAGCGGTGACAGGCCGGCGCTCTCACCACTCGGCCACCCTTGCTTCCCAAAAATCAATCAAACCATCTGTCAATCAATCAACCTATCAATCAAATTATAAATATTCAAAAGCATTAAAGAAAAATCCATCACAAATGCAACTTACTCATGTGCAAGAGCAAGAAGATGAAGAACKCCATTGGTTGACCCACCTAATGCATACATCACTGTAATAGCATTCTCAAATGCCTAAAGAAATTCAATCAAAATGTTAGACATACATTGAAGTGTAGAAAGACAATCAAACAAAGATTCATCATTAAAGTTATCCAATCATTGCATCCAACACCTGGTCTTTATTGTACCTTTCTGCTCAAGATATCCCTAGTTTTGAGTCCAGACTCCATCAATGCAAATAAAGCYTTAACTGCCTCTTCACAYTCTTTCTTCTTCTTTTCTGTTGGCTGGAAGAGATAGCAAAGCATTGCACAACTATGTACTGAGTATCAAGCATCTCCGAGCACTAGCTAGCTAGTAACCAACCAACTTTCAAACAGTTTAAAACAAATATCACCATTTCATTTGCCTCAAGTACCTTATTGCTTTCATCGGCAGCAACACCTGATGCACTTCCTGTTTCAGATAAATACAATGTCACATTATTGAGATTAATAAAGTAAAATATACTTTATGGTCAAATATATTGTACTATAATTACATTASCATACCTGGTAAAGTTAGCCCTAGTGCTTCTGCTACAGATGACATTGTATTAGCTGTAAACATTCCACCTGGAAACAAAYTTCTTTTAGTCAACCTTTCATGACTAAACAACAAATTTTTAATGCAATCTAAACATTTATCACATATTGTATTTGCATTGCTTATTCTTGGACTGGTATTAATCCTCCTGGAATCATTCTGTGCCTACTGTTAGTATCTTATTCCCTTTTGATTAAAACTATCAGCCATTCAATATATACATACCACAAGCTCCTGCCCTTGGTATTGAGTGACATTCRATATCATAYAAGTCTTCCATGTCAATCAAACCTTTGCTGTATTCACCCTGRGCCTAACGGAAATAATACCAGCTAAGCTAAAATATTTACCATTCCATATACATTTCTCAAGATCACAGTTCTTCAAGTCATTACACATTATGTGTGTGTCTCTCTCTCTCTTCAGGCTAGATGGCATTCAATTCAATTCACTGTGCTTACTTTCCATCCAAGAGTCTACAAGACTTGGAACAAGTAATGGTAATCAATATCAACTGACAATTTTGGACCCTATTGCTTGACCCCTAAACCAATAATAACTGTAATAACACCTCAAATGGACTCCCAGCACTAAGGTTTTCATGACAGTCCTTCTTTCCACAGCCTGGTGGCATTGTTCCACCATACACAACTACACCTGCCTGGAAACATGAAAAACAATAAGCAATAGTCCTGAAGATGAATGTTTGTTCAAAAACAATACACAAAGTCAAAATGGATTCTATAATAATTGAGATTCTGTATTCAATGGTATAACAACAGGTTCAATCACTGCCAAGTCAATTACTCTAAATATTGTCTGTACACAAACTACTGTATTGCAAATGATACTTAACATACAGCATTCAGCCTTGCTAGTGGCATCATAACTCCAGGGATTGTCTTGTCACAGCCAGCCAAACTAATAATAGCATCCTATCRAGATAATTCACATTCATCAATATTATTTTATCCTTCCTCAGATGGTTGTTTGCACTTGTTTTCACTACTTCGAATTCCCAGACCCATGAGCAAAGAAAATATTGTTTTTTTACCATAATTTGTGTAATTATATYGTAATTTATCAATAGTATGTCTTTCCTGGCTTAATTAAATGAAAACCTGCTATCTTGGCATTAACAATAGCAGCTTATCATGCTTACCCCAGTGTATCCGCGATACATGATCTCCACACAGTCAGCAATCCAGTCACGTGATATCAGTGAATACTTCATGCCATCAGTTCCCTATTRTAATTAATAAGCTATTTCAAGCTATGTGTTATATATTTTCCWCCTTTTAGACCTTGCAAGGCAGCAAAAATGGTAGCTTTTATTACAATGCAATTTTATATGTCCCCAAATTTATGGCAGATCTCACTGGATTATATCAGTTTCTAAGTTGGTTGTCYACCTCCACAGAGTTTCTGCATGTTCAGTGTTGCCAATATTCAACAATGGCAGCACAAGCCAATTATTTAAGTACAGAAGTTTAATAAGTATGGATGATGAATAGTGTATGTGATCTGTACTCACCATTGTCTCTGCATCACTGATGACAGGTGTATAGCTTAGACACGCTTTGCCTGGACCAATACGAAATATAAGTTAGAAGTTGAATGGGAGCAARGGATGAATGAACTAGGAAATGGATTGATGGAATTATAGGTGAATGCAAGAATGAATGAATGGATGAGTGAGTGTACTGATGGTTACCCGGTGAACAAGAGAGCAACAGATTGGATGTTGCATCAATGACTCTTATAAACAGGCCTATTATCTGTTGGCATTCTATGGGTATTGTCAATGACTCACATTGTATACTGTTCCATGTTATGAAGCTTGACATTATTACATATTGAATTAGAAGGTGTAACTAATAAACCCATGCTAACAGTATGGTCTGTAATAACAAGGATGTGTAAACCAAATACCTCTTACCTCCAAGAGACTCAATAACTTGCACAACATGATC